CTTCCTCTGCAGAGACAAATGGTGACTGACCTGCTCAGGGGAACTCCCTCACCCAGGATGGGGCCTTCTGGCACAGATTTAATCCATCTGAATCTGAAAAAAAGTTAGGACAAGAGTCAAACTGTTGCAGGATAACTTAAGTGCTCCAGACATCTTGTGTCCATCAACAAATCCCATCTACAGTCCAACCTACAATCCAACTACATCCCACATTACAAACTTCAAGTCCCCAGGACTTCCCCTATTGCAGGCTATGCGTCAGGGCAGATCAGCTCCAGCACAAATGTGTGTGAACACCCGTGACACAGGACAGGACATGACAAACAATGGGAACACAACAGGAACAGAAATCTCTGTGAAAGGAAAATGGCTGCAAGGACTGAAAGAATGCAAAATGAGATAACTGAGTTGAAACTGATGGTGGGCTGATGAGGCTCAGAGAACTGTGGAGGAAGATGCTAACGGAATGATTTATTCCAAGAACTGCAAACATAGATGCCCGAGAATCCTACAGTCAGAAGCCTCTACCCAACCTCATATTCTAAAAAGGCCTAATCTGCCATAATGGATCCTTGTGGGGCATGGCTGTCCACACAGCCACACAGCTCAGAACAAGACCTGAAAAGACAGCTGACCGGATGCTTCTAAAGAGAGATGAGAGTCTGATCTCAGACTGTCTGAGCTCCTGAGTCAAAAGTTCTATGGCATTGGTGCCAGGCCAAGGAATGCAGAGATCACGGATGCTAACAATGATGCCACAGTTTCTGATAGGCCCCTCAAAGGCCTAAGGTAAAGGACATGACAAATCCAAACACACAGAAGGTACGGTAGACAAACAACACGATACACACCAGGACTGCTCTGCGCTGTGCACCTCAATTCTGTCATCAAAAGTGACCCTTTCCTTTCATGTGGCCTAAGGGGCCGCTTCACGGACACCCCCATCTCCAAAGGGGACTCAAAAACCCCTCCCAGTGGGTCCCTACCCTGCGCCCTGCTTTCATCCCCTCTGTGGGTCGTGGCCCTCTACTTATCTCTCAGACATCTGGGGATGTGGTCCGTGTCAGGTGCTAAAGAAGGCTGCCTCAACACCTGGGAAGTTCCTGCTGGCACTGCTGTTCAACAGCTTCCTGTTGTTTCTTAGTCAGCTACATTAAAGAAAATCAAATATCAATGCATGATCTCTGCAGCACACTGACCAAAACCCAACAATTCTGCTACTCACCATTCTCCTAAGAATGCCCGGCTCCTGGGGCCGCACGCTTCAGCTGTGTTCAGAGGCTGACGCCGTTGTCGCTGGGTACGCCTGGGGTAGGAGGAGAGGAGGCGATGTGGCATTGCTGAAACCTGAGCGGACCCTCGCTCCTCCTCCCTACTTCCCCGACTCACCGCAACTCCTCAGCCGTTGCCAAAGGCTGGTGACACCTTTAAGCAGAAAAGGCAGAGGCTTCATCACCGAGTCCCGTGATTCTTCTGCAGGGCTCAGGAGAGCGGCAAGCCCGGCGTGTTGGCCGGTTGGTGACTGGGGCTCGACGTACTCCAAGTCGATTGCCTAAAGCACAGAAACAGGGACAGATGCTTAGAGTTGCACCGGAAAACGAGACTTGAGCAATAACAACTGCTTCTGTACGCTACTCAATGCTCACCTCACCCACCTCACCTTGACTGCTGATGTCCAGCTTTACTTCCTAGAAAGAAAAAGAACAGTGCTGTAACAGAGTCACACTTTACACTCCCCCTGCAGAGACAAACAGTGACTGACCTGCTTGGGAGAGCCTCCTCACCCAGGATGGGTGGATGGATTTTGCCCTGGATTTTATCCTTCTGCATCTGAAAGAAAGCGAGGACAAAAGTCAAAGGGCTGCAGGATAACTTCACAGCTCCAAACATCTTGTGTCTATCTAGGAATATCATCTAGAGTCCGGCAACACCCCACAAACCGCAAGTCCCCGGGACTTGTCCTATTGCAACAGGCTATGCAGCAGGGCAGGGCAGAGCAGCTCCGGCACAAATACGTGCGGACACCCGTGACACGGAACATGACAAACAGGGGGACGTTAAACACGACACGTTATGCTTGTGGTGAGGGCCTCAAGGGGAAAAGGCAGAGATATCTGACCAAAGGGACCCCAAAGACACACTAGGTAACACGGTACACCAGACAACACGACGTGGACCGGAACTGTTCTGCGCTGCCCGCCTGAAAGCTGCCATCAAAAGTAGAACCTCTCCCTTTAGCTGTCCTAAGAGGCCCCTTGGAGAAGATTGCTATTCCCTCTGCTATTTTTTAAATCTGTCCAGAGATCTCCCAAGCTGCTACTCTCCCATCGTCCCATCTCCAGGCCATGGCCCTGATTTATCTTTTGGATGATCGGTGATGTGGATCCACACTGCACCTGAAAGGAGTCTGCCTCAGAGGGCCCCGTGATCACCTGTTAGCCTCTCGGTCAGCTACAATAAAGAACACCAAAAACAACGTATGAGTTTAGTGTTATCAGCTACTCGCCCTCTCCTGAGTGTGCCTGAGTCCTTGAGGCTCCAGCTTCATCCAGAGTCCAAAGCTGTGACTGTTATTAGGAGTGGCACCTGGGTTAGAAAAAGGCAAAGTTACATGGCCTTGCTGTAAGTACAGCAGATGAGCTTGTGCGGTGTAAGACCTGTGAATACCTCTGCTACACTTGTGAAAAGCCTTGGGGGGCCCTCAAATAAACCCCCTCAACAATAACTCCTAACCAGATACCAGCTCACCCTCCCTCTCCTAGTTACAATCCTCAATCTCAAACATCATCTTTGACACTAGGCAGATCCCTCTTGTGACATGATGAATCTGCTAAAAAAAGTGTTGTACTCAACATGACCTGGAATATCTGGAAGCTGTACTCCTCCTAAAAAGGAATGAAAAACTAAACAAGAACAAAACCAGAAATTATAAATGTGCTTTACCACCCCTAAGCACAAAACCCAAATTCATGAACTTAAACACACCCTGCATTTAATGGTGTTTTCAGCACAGTACCTTTAAAGCCTCTAAAACCTTAGATGCCCAAAAGCACCTGCTGAAAACAAGCTGAGATAAATTACAAGAGCCACTTCACTGAAATGAGAGGAGAGCTCTTACCCCAACACATCCCAGAGAGAAAGTGAAGCCCCTTAACAAAGGCTGGGATTAATATACCCCTGATGGTGCCCGCCTCTCGTTCCCATGACGCCCGGGAAAAGGGAGGGGGCAAGTCCCACCGGGTATAAAAGCCCCCAGAGCAGCTGCAGCTGTTTGGCTCCTCTGACTCAAATTCAAGGGGGGGAAAGGGTTTGTTATAGAAGAAAGCTCATCAGAAAAATAACAGCGCTTTCTTTTTTGCTACAACTACTTGGAGCAGAAGAACAGAAAATAGGTAAGAAATAAAACTTTGTGTCTAGGTAGCATAGCTAGATAAATTGGGTAATTTGCTGTTAACTTACATAATTTTTCCTTGGTGGTTACTATGTAGTACTTCACATGTGACTAAGTAGAGTGGAGAAAAATACTAATGATATGAATAGTCTAAGTCTCCTCGGGACCTCTAATTAGGGCTATCTACGTTATAAACAAAAATAAGAAAAAAAAAAATCTCCTGGGCAACGTAAAGGCTAAGTACGTGCCAACCTCACTCTCCTCTGAGATATCTGGTCCAAAGACATAGAAAGAATTGCCCAGAAATAAATATTTAAATCCTAGAAATGCTAAAAAAGACAGATCTTCCTTCAAGTGAACCCCTAAAAATGAGAAAACAGGGCAATTACCCCCACTGAAACTGAAAAAATGGCAAATTAACTGCTTCTGCCCTTTAATTTAATCTCCAAAAGTATTGTGAAAAGAAGGGTTCTCCTCAATTTAAATCACTCCAGCGATGAAAAAAGATAAATTTTTCCCCCAATCAAACCCTTAACAAGGAGTGACAGCTGGAGAGGGTTTGCAGGATGTGCTTGGGACTTATAAAGCAGCCTAACGTTGCGGTGGTGGCAGCTTGGGTCTGGGAGGTATCCTGCCAAATGCAGAATTTCCGGCGTGCAGCAAGCCACTCTGGGCCACAGGCCCCTGAACACCAGTGCCGGCTCTTTCTCCAGGTAAGCAAAACTCAGCGGGCTAGGTTCCTGATGGCAGATTTTAGGAGGTGCTTGGCACTGTCAAAGCAGCTCGAATTGGCACTGGAACCAGCTTGGGTCTGGGAGGCATATTTCGCAACGTAGAGGGGCTACGTGGACTAATGGGTCCAGGATTCATCGCAGTTCCCACTAACAGCTGCTGGGGGAATTTGACAGTTCAGATGTGTCTTTGTCTCTCTCTCCCTCTCTTACTCTGTATTTCTAGTGGCTCAGCTGTCAGCCACCTAAGACATTAACGTCTTACAACTTTTACAGTATGAAGCTTCACAAATACACAGCTTCACATGTGCAGACACTACATGGTTACACATACAGGCCCTGCAGTGCTCGGCGGTGGTCTGCTTAGGATTATGTTTAGGGAAATTCTTCCTCACCCGGAGAAAGAGAGAGGAGATTCCAACAGTCCTCCCCGGCAAGAATGATATGGTTTTCCCCTGAAATTTGTCACTTCTCAGACTTTGTCCCTGCACTCACCCCCCCCACCTCCTTCCGCCTTCCCGGTCAAATGGGCACTCCTCGGAACGCAGTGCTGCCGGAGCTCATCTCCCCTGCGGTGACCGACGGCCTCGTGGACGACGACGCCACACGCACCGGGAAGACTGCGGGCCTCGTTTGCCGCCCGGCACGTGGCTGGGACGGCGTGATAAGACGGGGCAGGCACTCCTGCCGAGCCGATCACCAAGAGACCGGCGGGCGGGGGAGCTGGGACGGCATCCGCGCCCCGCCCGCCGCGCGCGCCCCGCCCGCCGCGCGCCCGTCGCTGCGGCAGCGCGCCCCGCCCCCGTCGCTAGGGAAGTGAGGTCACGCAGTATGGTGGCTGGGGGCCGGAGGGGCTGAGGCGCCGGTCGTGTCGGGAATCCGTGTCCATCTTGCTCGGGAGCTGCGGCGACGGGCTTGACTGTCTCGCTAGTGTCGAGCGGCGAGACCAAAGCCGCGATGGCATCCGAAACCGTAGGACTGTGAGGCATCAGAACGAGAGCCAGCAGGCCGGGCAGAGCAACGGAACCGGGTCGCTGACGAGCCGAGCTGCCGCCATGGAGCTGAGGGTTGGGAACCGGTACCGGCTGGGCCGGAAGATCGGGAGTGGCTCCTTCGGGGATATCTACCTGGGTAAGGAGGATGGCTCGCTGGGGATTTCGCTGGCCGTTTTCTGGCTGTGTGGAGAACATCGAGGGCCTAGCCAGGTCGGGCAAGTACTTGGGCTAGGGACACAGCAGCAGTAATTTAATATTTCGTTGACATCATGTCCTAATTTGGATAGTGCGGAAATCGGGAATTCTGGTTTACTCGGCTGCCTCTTCTCGTTGTTGTCTAGTGACCTTGGGCACCGTTCGAGTCTGTAAAATGGGCATAAGGGTAAAAATCGCCTCATCTCAAAGCAAGGAAGAAAAAAACCCAAAATCACATAAACCCTAAAAACCCCACAACCCATCGCATTCGGAAAAACGTTTTGGAAAGGAAACATTCCGCGGTTAAATAACGCTGCAGTGGACTAGGAGAAATTGTTGTCAGAAAGATGTTTCCTTCTCCTATGAGGCCTAAAAAAATTACACAAATACAAGTGATTAGGTTGCAGTAAAAAAAAAAAAACTTTAAATCCTTCAGATAATCCTCGTAGTTTGGCTAATCTGTTGCTGACCATCACTATTCGTGACCGCTGTGCAATTGTAAAATATAAAGGACTGGAATTGTCTTTGCCAGTCCATTATTATAGTCCTCTAACATAGCCTGCTGCTACTGTTTATGACAAGCACAGGTAGTGGGTGCAAAACATTTTGAAAGCAGGTATTTTTAAAATACTCCGCATATTCCGCAAACTCTCAAGCCATGTGAAGTGGATTAAATCCAAAGAAATATGAGCATTATGTCCTGTCTGATAGACACAAGTATTCTGCTTTTGAAAAATGTGTTAACCTAGAAAAGCAAATCAGGGAAGGGGGAACTTGCAAGGGTTAAGTTTCATTGACTGCATATTTGTGGAAGATAAAAATAATGTCACTTGCTAGCTTATGTGGTACGCTTGCAGTGCATGCAGTATGAGAGGTGGGGGTTGTTTTTCTGTACATCTTGCAGTGCACAGCTGGTATTCGAACATAATTCATTACCTAAAGCTGCTTGTTTACAGCAAATGAAATACTGGTTATCCATAAGACAGATCATATGCCTGATAAAAAATATGCATTTTTAACTGAAGGCATGTGATGGTCTAGAGTCAGAGAATGTGATTCTTCCTCTCTGCAGTGCATGTAGAGAAGATTGAAGATGTGACCATAGAAGATTGTGGTAAAACTAGTGCAAAAATCCTTATTAGCTTCCACTGGGATTTTGGGGGACAATTAAGACAGCAGTTAAAATCTGAAAAGTCTTAAATTATTTGAAAAATTTAAACTTGACTACTGCTTAGATAAATCAGATTGTATTACAGTATGAATATCAAGTGAAATAAACGTTTATGTGTGACTTTTATCTCTATGGATGCAACTTACACCAGTGAAGTTGCACAGAAAGTAATAGTTCCCTGTATGCTAGCGTATATATTAATGCCATACTGAATTCTATGCAATAAATCCTCTGGGTTTTACATTTTTTTTATTTCTAAATAATTGTTATGGATTTAGTCTCAGGGCTTACTGCAAATGTCATGCCATTTACATGAAGCATGGCTCAGGCATGGAACTAGCCTGGAAGTACCTTAATGGAAGATCCTGGTGGCATTTATTTTTCCAGGGAGAATTACTGTCTCTCAAGAAGTGAAGCCTTGTGGTCAGTTTTTTAAAAAATCCATTTAGTGCTCTGTTGTTCAGACTGTACAGTAGACACAAGTGTCTTAAAATAATTTCTAAAGTTATTTCAGAAGTCAAGATTTATTTTTAAGTAGACATGCTTTCTGATAGGCCTCAGTGAATTTTTAGATTATTTCAGTGTACGTTCCCAGCTCCGTTTTATGCTTTGAAGATGAAGATTTGACTATTTTTGCCTGTTTCCAGTCCCCAGGTTTTGTCTTAAATGCAGCTACGAGGGTGTTGAAGACGTGTCAGAGTAGAGGGGAACCTCTAGTTAGGCTTTTGAAAGTGGGGATCAGATTGAACTATAGGTGATGTACTTCACATAATCCTGAACCATGAGGTAAAGCAGAAAAGGGCCAAATTCCTAAAGTAGAGAGACTTGGAGATAATGTCCGTGAAGTGTCACACATTTCCTTTTGCTCTTTCCTTTTTTTCTTATAGTTTGTAAGTTGCTTGGCTGTGAGAGTGTGTATTTTCTTGACTGTTTCTATTTAAGAATGTCAGTTTCTCCCTACATACTTTGAAAGTGAACAGGTAAGCATTTTTTGATTCTTAAAACAAGAATTTAATGAGATTTAAAGAAAGCTTTTGCAGACTGCGTATTCTTTAGTCTAGATAAGCTGCCTTCCAGCCAAGTAAAATGAGGTGTCAGGGTACTTAACCGGACTAAGTTGAGATCTAAGGAAATTGTAGCCTCTATTTCCAAGACATAAGAGGAGGTGATTTGAATTCTTAGTACTTCTTCCATTGGCGGGTCAATGTGCCATGTTCATAAAGATTAATTCTGACCATTTTTGCCACAAACTGGAAGTGGAAAGACATCCCTGAGAGGATGCACCTGGTTTAGTTTTGTTCTTTTTCTGGGGGTTTTTTGTTTGGGTGGTTTGGTTTATTTTTTCCAATGGGAGAGCAGCAAATTTGGATTCTCATTATACAATAGTTTTCTCTTGTAATCCTAGTCTGTTGGAGAGCGTCTGTAAAGTTTAAGAAGAATTTTTAGGTAATCTTGGCTGAAAGTACTTAAATCTCTGGATGTTTACCATTGAGGAGTAGTTTGTTGATGCTCATTTTGTTTCAGTCTTGGCAAAGGAAACGCATCTTAAAAATATTTTCACCAATGTTTTAATTCTTCTGGTTTTAGGAACTGATATTGCTGCCGGAGAGGAGGTTGCAATAAAGTTGGAATGTGTGAAAACCAAACATCCTCAGCTCCACATCGAGAGTAAAATCTACAAAATGATGCAGGGTGGAGGCAAGCAAACTATTTTCCTTCTTCAAAGATTTTACTGCTTTTACACCTTTGATCTGTCTGCCACCTGACAGTTAATGTTTCGGATCTCTTTTGAGAAATAAGGAGAAGGTGGGAAAGGCAGCAGGGTAGATAAAGAGCAGCATTTTAGTTCTGCAAGGGTTGTAGAGGAGCAATTCTAAATCCATGGCTATCACGCTTCATGATAACCAGTAAGATCCTCCAGAGTTTCTCATGGTTCCCAAAATATTAAAGTGGGAGGACCTTGTGCAATGTGAAACAAAGTTTCGTCCCAGAACAGTGATTTATTTCTGATTCTCATGGATCAGTGAAAGATGGTAACCACTACTTTGGACCATTTCAGCTGACTTGCTTATTATTGTAGCACAATTCTAAACTTTTAAAAATGATGTTAATTTTTGTTGTATGTGTTAGTATTATTTTTTCTGTGTTAAAAATATTTCCTTGCTGGGAGAGCTCAAAGACAAAATGGCACTAGTAGTGGAGAATTGGAGTGCAGCAACTTCATAGCTACTGTGTGTTGCTTTGCTACAGTAACTTACTCATATATTTTGGAATTCTGGAAACGTAACATTCCTGTGCAGTTCTGGGACATAAACTCCGTGTAGTTTAGTTTTGTGTTTGTTTCACAGTCCCTTGAATTCTTCCTAAATGAGGATGTGCTTTGCATAAAGAGTACATTCCATGCTGTATCTCAAGTACATGCCAAGTAGGGTAATAAGACCTCTAGAAATTGATAATAATGTGTATTTGCTTTTAGTTACTTTTTAATTCCCGCCTCATTCGGTAGCCACCTGTGTGTAACCGAAATAGCCTTCATAGAATATCATGCTTCCTGTAAATTCAGCGAATTACGGCATTTCACACCAAAATGCATAGACTTAACTCTGAGTAAGGCATTTGAAAATCTGAGTAAGACTACCTACATGCAGGTTTATTTAAAAATATTTGAGCATTTCTACATTTTTTTTGTGAAATAAGGTTCCTGATTTCCTCCATAAATTTGGGCTAATTGTCATGCTGTAAAACTGAATGAATAATGCATCTCATGAACAATGCTACTTTGGTGGAGATTCACCAAACAGCAAATACCATGAAACTGAAGGAAAGACAAGAATATGAAGGAAGGGCAGAAATTCATTGCAAATTTTGATGAAGGAGACAGATATTTCATGGCGCTTTTGTAGGCTTTAAAACTAAGTTAATTCCTAAGGCTTTCCTAGACTATAGTGTCTAGTGGTTTGTCAGGGTTTTATTTTCAGACTCCTGATTTCTGCCTTATTGCATCTTAGAGACTACATGAATATCACTCTTGGTAAAATGCTTAGGGTTCAAATCCAACGAAGATGCTCAATGCTTTAAAGTTACAAGATAAGTATGAAGACTAGAAGGTTTCTGGGGAAAAGAAAAAAGGCTATTTTTAGACCTCTGTTGCTATAATTTTGTGTTGATTATGCTGGAAGTTGTCCCACATTTAATTTGGAATGTCTGAACATAAAATATTAAACTTTGCTGTAAATGGAAACATTCATGGTAATGACACTCAGAATTAATATTAAGAGCCTTGAAGATTTGTGTGCATGAATTATATAAATCAAATTGTTATACTGAATAAATGATTTATTTTTTCCTAGTGGGTATTCCCACAATTAAGTGGTGTGGAGCTGAAGGGGACTACAATGTTATGGTGATGGAGTTGTTGGGACCGAGTCTTGAAGATCTCTTCAATTTTTGTTCAAGGAAATTTAGTCTCAAGACAGTCCTATTACTTGCTGACCAAATGGTAGGAAATGACTTTGTTACCTTTATAGTGAAATATGTTGGGATATTGAATTTTTTTTATCATATACATTTTATTTCTAAAATTTAGAGCGGAATTGGCTGTATTAATAGAGAAAAAAATCAAAAGTAGCTCTGTTTTTGTAAATCCAAACTATCCCATGAAAAGTGATTACCAATTCTTCTTTAAAAACTGGAACTGCACTGTTTGGAAACCGGGTGTTGCACTGCTCAAAGACTAAGAAATTTCCCCAAGAAAGTTTTTGGAAGCAGATTGTCCTGGTTTTGTAAAATACACACAGGCAAACAGCTGGAAAGAAGGTTTGTCTGTTGTCTTCTAGATTATGTTCTCTTTAATTCCCTTATATTTTACAATAGAAAGGGGAGTTGCCTCTTTCATTATTGAGACACCATTTCTAGTGGTTTTGTCAGAAAAAGATGTGTGCTTAGTCTCTCAACAATGATTTTTTTTTTTGTGGTTCTATATTTAGATTAGTCGAATTGAATATATTCACTCTAAGAACTTCATCCACCGAGATGTGAAGCCTGATAACTTCTTAATGGGCCTGGGGAAGAAAGGCAATCTTGTCTACATAATAGACTTTGGTCTAGCAAAGAAGTATCGAGATGCTCGAACTCATCAACATATTCCATATCGTGAAAATAAAAACTTAACGGGAACTGCCCGTTATGCATCCATCAACACTCATCTTGGAATTGGTGAGCTGGGGAAAGCAATAAATAGAAACTTCAAGAGTGTCGATGAATGTAATTTTAGTGCAAGTGGATGTTGCTTTGTGGAGGCATAGGAGACAGTCCCTATTTTTGATACTAAGAGTACAGCATGCGTGGCCTTGTATATCTTTATTAAGTGGGATTCAGTCTATATCAGTCTGTTCGGTCTGAGTTTGTAATGCTTGGGAATTAGCACTTTTTTTTAATAACTGCAAGTATAAAAGGCTTTTCTTTTACTGAATGAGTTTGTCATGGGCATAGTAACACTCAGCTGTCTCTTGTTTTTGTAAGGGTTTTTATAACAATCTTGTTGCACAGACTTTTGTTTTGCCAGTAGAAAATGAAACCTAATGAGTTCACTTTTTTATGCTGTTGTAGAGCAATCTCGCAGAGATGACTTGGAGTCCTTGGGCTATGTACTGATGTATTTTAACCTGGGCTCCCTCCCCTGGCAGGGACTGAAAGCAGCAACAAAGAGACAGAAATACGAACGTATCAGTGAAAAGAAAATGTCTACACCCATTGAGGTTTTGTGTAAAGGATATCCTTGTAAGTTACTCTTCTGTGACACTAGGACTATGTGTTCATGTTTTAGTGGTACATCTCCTTTCCTTATGTTAAATTCTACTGCTCTTTTTCACCATCTGTTTCTCTCCTTCTCCTCTTCCCCTTCCTTATCTCCCCATGATTTTACCACATGTATGGTAAAAATACTATGCCGAAGACAGATCTTTTGTGTTCATAGAGCATTTCTAGGGGTTCCATGTCTCAACTGTTCAAGTGCCCTCAAGAGGAAGGGTAGCATGGTACCCTAATTTGTGCTGTATTTTTTGTGCGCCTGTTGGCTGGATAATTTGCAACAGACAAATAGCATTTTAACAAACTGCCTTTTTCTCTATCTGTGTGGGTACTGTTTCTTGGATTGTGTAGTCAGATGCATCTCTGCTCTACTGCAGTTGTTTTGCTTGGGAATTATCGTCCCAGGTTCATCTGGTTTTGCCTGCTGATGGATTAGAATTTGTGAGAAGTGTATGAATCACTGCTGTATCCTAGCATCATGCCTCAGAGCAGTTCTGTTTCTCAGTTTGTTATTTACACCTAAACAATAATAAGCCATTTTTGAGTATTGTAAAATGATACTTCAATTTGTTTTAAAATGTAGTAACACTAGCTGTGATCAGAGACTATTTTGATTTCACAAAGAGTTCTGTCTCTTCACCTTCTTGTTACAAGAACTATAGTTTTTGTTTGGGTTGTGTGAAAATGCATCATTTTTTATGTGTTTCAAATGTTGCTTCATACATGTTCCTTTACATTCAGAAATTACATGTTTTCTCTGGGGTTTACAGGCAGGGAAGGCTAATCAGATTCTCTTGTGCCGTTAGTTAGAATTTCTTTCTTAATATAAATTACTCTGTTATTTCATTTGGGAAGACCTAAAGTCAAAAGCTAGTATTTCGATACTGCTGATTTTCTCTGGTGCACTGAATTCACTACAGTATTCTTTTTTTTTTCCTTTGTAATATTTTGCTTGCCATTTAAAAACAAGTGTTCAGACTATTGTAAATTAAAAATGTGGCGTGACTTACCTGGGAGATAAAGTTTTTGTGTGTTTTGTGACACAGCAGACATGAATCTCTGTGTCTTAACAAAGAAATGCTGTTCCATGTCCCACAATAAATTGTGTTCAGTAAGTTCCAAGCAAAGTTTTAAACCTTTTCTCCCCCACCAGCTGTTGGTTAAAGAACTGTGTTATTGGGTCCTCTGTGCTGTCGAAAAAATGAGATCTCTGCCTGCTCTGTGATAGAAAAAAAATTTCTTTTTCAGGATTGACATGATAGTGTTTCCTTTAGTGGATTTCTAGTATTAGATCATTATTCTTTTTCTTATGTTAAGAAGATTCCCTGCTTTTCAGGTTTGGGGTGGTTTGGGTATTTTTGACTTAGATTTACAAAAAGCCAATGTGAAGCTGTTGATAAAAAACAGGTTTCCTTTAATTACAGCTGAATTTGCCACATACTTGAATTTCTGCCGTTCTTTGCGTTTTGATGACAAGCCGGACTATTCCTATTTAAGGCAATTATTCAGAAACCTTTTTCATCGGCAAGGATTCTCCTATGACTATGTATTTGACTGGAACATGCTGAAATTTGTGAGTAGCTCACATAGCTTTCTAAAACTTTGAATTGTTAATTGTTCTGGTTGGGTTCTGTTACTGCATTGTTAGTTTTGAGTACCTTAACTAATACTGTAAGGTTGTCTTCCATATTTCCTCTTAGTAACTCTACTGTATAGACAGAAAGATCAGGAAATGAGGAGAAAGGCCGGAGATATGGGATCCATGCTATAAGGCTTGGATGACAGCTAAATTACAGTTACAAGGCTTTTAATGTGGAAGGCTTCTTAGATCCTTTAGGGCACTCACCAGGCTAGGTTGTGGAATTACTACTTTCTCCCACCTTGATCTTTAACATAGGTCATTTGCTACATTTGAGGAGGTGTCCAGCTGCCATAACAGTACACGTGTACATTAACATTTTGAAGACTATCCGAGCAGCTGTATGAACAAAACTTACGGCAGTTCTCAAGAAATTTTACCAAAGCAGCCGGTGCCTTCTCAAACTTCGGTTCACACATTGTCCAGTTCTTCTTTTTCAGTACTTTTATAAACAAATAGTTGTAAGCTCAATAATCCCCGAAGTTGTTCACTACTCTTGATCCGTAGGGTGCGAGCAGAGCAGCTGAAGATGCTGAGCGTGAAAGGCGGGAACGAGAGGAAAGATTAAGACATACACGAAATCCAGCTGTACGTGGATTACCCTCCACTGCTTCTGGCAGGATAAGAGGAACGCAAGATGTAGCTCCTCCTACTCCCCTTACCCCAACTTCACATGCTGGTGAGTCAGCAAGTAGCTGGGTAAGTGCTTCTTGTAGACTACTCTAATTGGCAGTTTGTGTCTGGGCAGAGTTAGGCCTTTTGGTTTGGTTTTTTCTCCCTTGATTTTTAGTAGATTGAAAGTATTTACATACGCTCATTGCCTGGCAATTGATACTTGTATTTCTATGAAATGTCAAACAACAGCCTTGATTCCTCATTTGGTTATGTGGAATTTTTATGTGCAAACAGCAAGAGTGTAATTTTTCCAGTGACTGTGTTAACGTGGCATTTCTCATTATGAGAATCTAATACTGTTCTTCTCACAGCCAACACCTCTCCTCGGCCAGTATCCGGTATGGAACGAGAAAGGAAAGTGAGTATGAGATTGCATCGTGGTGCCCCAGTCAATATCTCCTCATCTGATTTAACAGGCCGACAAGATACCTCTCGCATGTCAACTTCGCAGGTAAAAAAAAAATAAATCTGTGTATTGGAAAAAATGAGGGCGATTTGATAAAGTTAATTTGCCAAAATAACTTACCAGGTAATTTATGTAATTTCATACTGTTTTTGCAGGTGATGTTCATTCATGTAAATGCCTGACATTTAGCCTGAATGATGTGGGTGTAAAGAAATTTTTATTTTTACCTTGACAGCAATGAGAGGATGCAAAATTCTAGAGGTGCAGCATTTTAACCTACTATTATGGGATTTAGCTTCCTGACTCATTGAGTTTCTTATACCTGTTATCAGTGAAGAAGCGGAGTAAGAGACAGTAGTGAATCTTGTTTCCAAATCAGCAGAGCAGACAATATTGGTGCAGAAAAGGCAAGAAGCATTTGGTGAAGAATAGAAGGTGCAGTAGTGAAGAAAGTTGTAGTGCAGTGCTCTTAATTCAGAGCCCATAAGAGGCCACATACATGGATGCTGAATATGTTGCAGAAGGCTCATTTGAAGAGAATGGCAGGAGGATAAATAATAATGATTCATAGTCAGCACTGAAATCATCCTTGCTGCTCACAGTGACTTAGCAAAGAAATTCTGTTTCTTTTTAGGGCTAACAGTGTGAAATGTGTTTCTAACTCTGTGCTGTAGCTAAAACATTCCTTCCTCAGCATATTGACAGTCTTGTCCTAAACAGTGTGTGGCTTGGCTTTGTACAATTTACTTTCAGTCTTAGTTATAAAATGGAGATCAGCCAATCTGTAGACATTCTGCAACATTTCTGGGAAAGCAGTATGTTAGGGGGACTATTGCAGTGACCTAGGGGTTTTTCCATCATGCCTCACTACTGTGAGGGAGCTCCAAGTGCATAATTTTTGCCAGGGACTTGTTCCTTGTTGACAGAGCACATTGACAAAAAATTAACTTGGTTCCTTTTAGCTTCATCATTTAATTGGGAGAGTTAATTACTTTTGGATAGTACATGTTCTTACGTATGAAATCTTACTGCTTGAAAGAAGAGTTTTTTAGATGGGGGCCAGGTGGATATGGATATTCAGACTGGACATCCCAATCTAATGAAGACAGAGTGAAGTGGGTTGGAGAAACAATTCCATTGTGATAAAAGCAAAGTGGCATTTGGGGTGGCGGGGAGTTTAAGCTGAATGAGTTGTTTCACCATGTAGCTGCACAGATACTTGTGCTTGCACAAGGGATGAACAGGAACAGAAATGACTGGGCAAGAATAGGGTGTAGGTGAGGTTTTCTGTACTGGCTTTGGTACAAGTTTCACCATCTTATACTGTTCACTGAACTGCTATTCTTGCCACCAGAAATTCTCATGTTTAAGTATTTTTAAGTAGTTTGAAAACAAAGGGGAGAATTGTGCATAGTTATGGATCTTGTAATAAATACCTGTTAGAAGAATGTAAAGAAGGTGCAGCCAGACTGTTTGCAGCAATATTCAGTGAATGGACACTGGAGAGTGGGCACAAATTGAAATACAGGAAATTCTGTTTAGACATACGGCGAAACTTTTTTTTGCTGTGAAGGTGGGCAAGGAATGTAACAGGTTGCCCAAAGAGGTGGAGTCTCCCTTTTCCAAATTACTTGGAGCCCAACTGGACATTGTCCTGAGTGGCTTGCTCTAGTTGCCTGTACTTTGGGCAGTGGGATTGGGCTACGTAATTTCCAGGGGTCCTTTTTGACCTTGGATATTATGTGAGGCTGTGATGCAGACTTCTCCCTGAACATTTACTTTAATATAAAGATGGTTTTGTGGCAAAATGTATATGCCAGGTCTTTGGCGTTCTGAGCAAATCTCAGATGCTTTGTCTCTGTTAACAGTCAGATAAATGAGTTATTGCAGTAACAGACAGAAATGCAGCAATGCCCCTTGACCGTTTTAGGTGCAACTACATCTTTAATGTTTTTGCTACGTTTGTGACGTGTCGCTCATTGTGCAGGTGACGCTATTGTAAACATTTCAAGATACGAGTAATACAGTCGGGCTTGTAGATCCATTTTGGTTCTGCCTGGCCTGTAGAATGTGAACATTGTGAGGGCAGTGGGCAGTTTTCTGAGTGGTCTTTGGGCTGTTTTCTGAGTGGTCTTTAAACATCCAGATGTGTAATTTGTGATATGGGCCAATAGTACCGTCTGGCTTAATGGCACATTCCGTACATGCTCTTTTTAACACTCTGCTCCAAGTACAGGACCGCTTGGTTGACTTCTTTACAGTCTCAAAAGCAGCCTAGTCAGGATCTTCTCTTGAGTTTGTTAGAACTAATAATTCATTGACTGCTGTATTAATTTAGTTCTTAAGACAGTGAACCAGTGCTGGTATTTACTCATGGTGACCAAATAACAGTGTGTAACTGTAGTATAATTTGAACAGATTCCCATGGGCCTGTTGCAATTGGAGGGAAAGAGATTTGCAGGGGAAATGAGTTGGATTAGAAGGGACCTTAAACATAACCTCATTCCAATCCCCCTGCCACAGGCAGAGAACCTTCCAGTAGGCCAGGTTACTCCGAATCCCATTCAGCCGGGCCTTGAACATTTCCTGAGATGGGGAGTCCACAAGCTATCTAGGCAACCTGGTCTAATGCCTCACTGCCCTTACAGTAAAGAATTTCTTCCTAATAAATAAATTACCCTCCTTCAGGTTAAGGCCGTTCACCCTTGTCCTGTCACTATTTACATGCCATGAGAGTAGCCCCTCTTCAGCCTTCTTGTAAGCCCCCTTTGGGTACTGCAAGGCGACTCTCAGTTCTCCCCAAAGTCTTCTCTTCTCCAGACTAAACAGCCCCAACTCTCTCAGCCTGTCTTCATAGGAGAGGTGCTCCAGCACTGTCGTCAACTTAGTGGCTCTCCTCTGGACTCATTCTAACATTGTCAGCATTGTTCTTGTGTTGGGAGCCCCAGAACTGGACACAGTACTCCACGTGGGTCTCACAAGAGCAGAATAGAGGGCAAAAATCCCCTCTTTCAAGTTGCTGGTCACTTTTCTTTTGATGCAGCCCAGGACACGGTTGGCTTTCTGGGCTGCAGGTGCACATGGCTGAGTCATGTTGAGCTTCTAATCCATGAAGATGCCCAAGTCTTTGTCCCCAGAGCTAATTTCGATCCAGCCATTCTTCACCCAGCCTGTACTTATGCTTGAGGCTGACCTGACCCACATGCTGGACCTTGCAGTTGACCTTGTTGAACTGCACACAGCTCCCAGAGGCCCACTTCTCAAGCTTGTTAAGGTCTCTTTGGATGGCATCCTTTTCTGTACAGCAGGTTGACTGCACCACGCAGCTTGTTGTTGTCAGCAAATTTGCTGGGGGTACACTTGTTTCCGCTGTCCATGTTGCTGACAAAGATTTTGAACAGCACCAGTCCCAATATTGAGGGACAAACACCACTCATCACTGTTTTCCACTTGGACATCGAACTCACTGACCACAATTCTTTGAGTGCAACCATCCAGCCAATTCCTTATCCACCAAGTGATCTGTGTGTCAAATCTGCGTCTCTCCAGTTTAGAGACAGGGATATTGCCTCCTTATTCTCCCATGTGCTTTAACATAATTTCCAGGAAGATCTGTTATGTGACTTTGCCAGGCACTGAGGTGAGACTGGCCTGTAGTTCCCTGTGTCATATTTCCCTTTATAAAACTGGGGGTTATGGTTTCCCCTTTCCAGTCAGAGGGAACTACGCTGGACTGCCATGACATTTCAGATATGATGGATAGTGGTGTAGCCATTTACTCAGCCTGATCCCTCAGAACCCGTGGATGGACGTGTGTTATCAGGTCCCACAGACTCGTGCACTTTCAGGTTCTTTAAACAGTCCCAAACGCAGTCATCTTCCACAGTGGATGGTTTTCATTTTCCCAATCCCTGCCTTCATCTTCTGCAACTTGGGTGGCGTGGCTGAAACACTTTACTTAGACTTTAGCTTATAACACTACTGCTTGAGCTTGCTAGAGAAAATTCGCTTTTCATTTTCCCAGTTGTCACTCTCTTGCAGGCAGGATGGTGCAAGTTGTAGGTGTTGATAGCTTATGCTCTTTACATTTTTCATAATAGTAGCTCTTCTGTAATCAGAATTTATCCTTAGATGTTAGCTAGGTCAACAGTTATAGCCATGAGTTTTCCATTATCTGTATACCTTGTTCTTAGGAAAACCTAAAGTATTTGAGACATCATTTACTTTGTGCCTTGGTTTGGTAAGGCGACAGCGCATCTGTAATCTCCACCTCTATTTATCTAAAGGAAAGGCTGCTGCTTGTTAAATTCTGGACAATGAAATGTACAGATGTTACTCAGACAAGGAAAGCTACTAGCCTCCAAGTAGAGTTCTTAAAGATGACTACTCCACGTGTTTATCTTTCTTTTTTCCAAACAGAATTCTGATCAAATCAGACTGAAACTGAAAAACTAAGGCTGTGAATGCAGATAATAGGAACTGGAGTTCTCTTAGGAAAACTAGGCATTCTCAGAGAAATTTAATGCTCGTGGAAAAATGGTAATTGGTAAGCATAGGAAAATAGATGTCGTTCCTGGCATCCGAGATAGTGTCTGCATAGCACCTAAGTCATTCTCCTTAAAAAAGACATGCAGTTTCTAATACTAAGTAACAAGCATTTATTGGAGTAACAACTGCTGTGTCTTACAAAGTGGTTCGTGAAACTTAAGTGTTTCTAATGAAATTATGTAAATTATATGCCACATGTTATTCAGTACTTTTCTGGATTATATGAAGTGAATGCAACAGCAAAAAACCTGCAAGTTGTGAGTTCACAGTGATAAACATCAGTGGGAGCTGAGCGGTCGAGCGCAGTCTATTCAAATGTGTATTCCTGGAGTACTGCAAATTCTGGTTAGGATGAAGAAGTGCAGGCTGTTTTCCTGTATGGGGGAGCTGTATCTGTGGTAAGTAATGACTGAGGAGGCAGATGTAACGTTGGAGAAGTTAGCGTGGTTTCCGTAATGAAAAGGCACAATTTCCTCCTATGTATGATACGGTAGTGAAAGAAGTGGAGATGTTTTGTGTCATTAGTGAGATGGATTGGGAGAACAGATTGTACAGTGTAAGAGTTTCAAATCTACTTCTTTGTTTGTACTAAAAGCTAAGAAAATGTCTTGGGTGAGTTGGTGTGGTGTTTGAGACAAAATGATTTTAACAGGAATTAATGTTTAAGGAGAAAATATGTGAAGAACCTATCGCATAAAATTAAAACCACTCACAAGTAAAGAAAGGCAAAATAGAGGTCTTAGTGAAAGTAGTTACCTACTGAAACAACTTCTAAAATAAGTAGATCATCTCTCCTCTCTGCCTTTGCATCGATACTCGATTCATTTCTAAGTGGTGTGCTCAAGTTTAAAGCAAACCTAAATTACAGCTCTGTGTGCAGTGTGTTTGACAGAAAATCATACCAACTGTTAAAAGATCCATCTGCTCCTGAACTCTGAGTGAATTGTTCCCTAAGTCTCCTTTACACAAAGTTTTTAAACATGAAGAGGTGTAATAAAGGAGGTAGTAAATGAGGTAATGAGTATTCTAGTAAAAACTGCTTTGAATCAGTTCTGCTGGTCCACATGTACAGACTGCATCCTGAAAGCATGATCATCTCAAGAGTCTAGTTATGGGTGAGTAGTCTTCATTTCCTTTAACAAAAGGTTCAGTCTGACTGCTCGTGGTTACACTGTAAGTTGTTTAATATTTTTTTCTCGAATGTAACATGTTCAGCACCCAACAGTCAAAGCTGTGGCAAATTCCAATTGGTAATAGAGATATTCTCTGTAGTTGAAAGGAAAGATTGAAGTGCTGCACAAAGAAATATTTGATTATTTCTCTTTGATGGAAGAAGGTTTTAGAAGACTATAGCCAACACTGGCATTGAATAACTTAAGTGTTGTGCCATACTTCCAGTGCTTCTTCATTTTCCATTTCTGCATCCACGAATCTTTCTCCACCTATCCATCTTAATAGGCATCATATTCTGCGTTGTTCTTCTGACCCTGTCAGCTTCCTTTAAAGATTAATGATTTGTTTCTTTTACGTGCCTCTTAATATGATGGAAATGTCTTACAGAAGTCTGAAATCAGAGCTTCTCAAAAGATAGAGTTGCAAGTTCAGGTTGGGATTTTTATTAAGACATCTTTATATATTGGGGCAGTGGAACTGTTAAAAATTGCTGTCTTTTCCCCTACCTCAGAATAGCATTCCTTTCGAACACCATGGCAAGTAGCTGCTCGTCTCCTTTCGTTGGAAGGCAGCACTGGGTGAGTGCTTCTCATTAGACACCAAAACTTTGTATGGGATGGGGAAAAAACTCTTCGGAAACATCCAACTTTGCTTCTTCTACTCATGTGATCTCATATTGTATCTGTGCCTTCTGGTCAGATGCTTGATGAAGCACTGATTTTTCTCTAACTTAAAAGCAAACGTCTTTCCAAAAGCTGAGTTATTACTGCTGTTCTACTTGGACTCTTAAGCAGAGTTGACAATAATAGTGACTTTAAAGGTCCCTAAAATTGTTCAAGTATCAACAATAAAGTAAAATAACCAAGTCAAAATTTTAGCTGTATGAGAATTACATGTCTTTCCAAGGATATTGATGCAGCAGTATATCATCCATTAAAACCCAGATCTGCTTCAGAATCATAAAAGCAAAATACCTGTATGAAGACTCAATTGACAGTATTGCTCAAATGAGGCTCTGTCTTGTCTTTTCATTAATGGAATGTTCTACTACAGCCATGTCCATTTTTCACTGTTATATATTCTTCTCCATGCCTTATGAACTCTCATTTTAAAAATACTCAGATCTGTTCAGATCTGTATTTAAAAGAAACATTCACATACTAACAGGAATAGTTGACCATGAGCATCTCAGAGGTAGGCAGACTTGAATTTAGATATTACAAAGTCTTTTCCACTGTTCAGTGCAGTAGAAGTCCCTGCCTTTCTGTGTGCAGCTTTTGGCTTTTTAGTCTGTTCTGCTTTTGGCAATAACAGGTTTCATATGAGAAATAACAGCTTTCAGTTGGAATCTGAACCTTAGTGGTTGAGGGATACTTTTCTTAAGTATTTCAAGAGCTTCTTTGATTTGCTACATATTAAAAAAAAGCTGTGAGATTTTTCTGTTCCTTAATAAATTCTGTTGTATAACTCTTGTCTGCTGTCTCACTTTCTCTATAAAGCCTAAACTTGCATTAATCCTGTATCTCTAGTTGGTGAAGAATCCTGCTATTTCTCTTCTGTTTTCTCCTTCTGCTTTGTGTGCTTGGCTGACTCTGCACAACCTGCTTCGTGAACAGTGTATAGCATTAAAAAGATCCAACTGCTTAACACTTTAAAGACCAGTTATCAGATCTTAGTAAAAAAAACAGATATTACAAAAAATGCAAAAAAATAAACCTAAAGCTTTGCATTGAAAAGCCTGTTTGAAGGAAACATGCACATTCTGGTCTGGTATGTGGCTGCATTGATTGGCCTATACTTTATGCCTTCGTATTTGTAGTTGTTCACAACTGAAACACGTACTGAATACAGATCCAGCTACTTAGATGTTTCTCGCTTCTTAAATTGCGGAGACGTATGGTTGTTTTTCACTTTCATGGTGAAAGTGGTAAGAGATAATGCTACACTTACTTCAGTAGGTCAAGCTATGGAAATACAAGAAGTATCTTTTAACACAGTGTCCCATGGACAGAGAAAAGCTATTGAAAACAATGAATTTCTTTTTTACCTTCTTAATATTTTTTTAATTAAATATCCATTGAGTCTATTACTGTGCATTCATAGTGTTTTGATCTGGTTGGTTCTTTCTTCTGCACATGTTTATGCTCTAATTTTCTTCAAAACATCCCCTCTGACTGGAAAGGTGAATTTTCCATGTTAACTTCTAATAAAAGAGAAAAATTATAGGGAACTTTGTGTAGCTACAGGTGGATGTGAAACATTATATTGCTCATTGAATTTTAAATTCACACACTTAAATTTTGGCAATTGATAGTTTAGAAGTACGTTGCGAGACACTTGTATGTTAACTGGAAGGATATGTGCTGATGTTGTCTTGTTTTTTGGCTTTGGTAGATTCCTGCTCGGGTTACTACCAGTGTTCTCCAGTCTGCTGTGCACCGGTGAAAATTATTTTGTCATGGAGGGCAGATAATGCATGGCTGATCTCCCATGTTGCCAATGGCTTTACTAGCAAATATACCCTAAACTAGAGCGGAAATTGGAGTTCTCCATGTGACCTAAAAAGCTCTTGGAGGAACATGCAGAGACTCCAGCAGCTGCCATTACAGGACGCTTTTGCCAGAAACCCAATGACCTTAAGAGACCCCTGTGGTAACAGGGCTGGAAAAGAAAGATGGTTTACAGAGTTCACCGCCTGTTACTGGATGGCCATTTCAGTTTTCCCTCCACAGGCGGCAGACTTTACTCCCTTTTTATTATTCTACTGTAACTATAAATCTTTTACTTGGTTTAAGAAAGTTTTTTGTATCATTTTGCTAAAATTATTGGCTTACTTCTCTGTAAAAAACTCTTGCTTTTGTCTGATTTAAAAATGTAGAGTATAAACAAACCTGAACTAAAGATAATGACTTGAAATTTCTTGTTTAAAAGATTAGTCTGCCAGGGAACATGTAAATGAATCAAAACCATCTGCTGTTATTTAAATTGTTTACTTTTACGTATTGTCCCATTCTGAGTCAGTTTTTTCATGAAGTTTTTAAAACTGTTAGAAGTTTATTTTACTGTTTGCTGTCTTCATTCACACTGGACATTTAACTTTCTGTGTAGCACAAATGAATTTTTTAATACTCATTGTGTTTCATAGAGGAGGATAACTAAATACCCTGCAGGAGAGTCTTAAGTATAGTAGAGATTGTAATGATGAATTTCTTTTTTTGTAAAGAATGTTAAGAACAAGTAAAAGACTGACATTTGAGGGATTTAGAATTAGAAAGCTTGTTCTGTATCTCTGCTTAGTTTGGGTGAATGGATACTTTCAAACATTGTTTTTACTCAGAAAATTTTGTTTCCTCTTCGCTGAGGCTGGTTAGCTTGGAGACTATTACAAGTGCAAAATAGACATTGCTGCTGAATCTTCAGTGAATTTGCATGTTTCATTCAGTATCCACATGTTTAAAAATAAATACATTGATTTAGGCCTTCTGTTACATGCCAAGACTCAAAAAAGGCATTCTTATACCAAAAAAAATCCTAAATAACACCCCCACAAACATAGTAACCTATTCTTGCCATAAAATCCTGATAATTTTTGCAATTCAGATGCATATCATATTTAATTCTTAAGTATATTTAACCTGAGAATGCCCAGAGTAATTATCTAGGCATGAATGACTCAACATGCTCAGGTTGTTGCAGGTATTGTTGGCTCCTGTTGGTTATGAAATATGGGAAATTCTTCATACTGTCTGTTACTGTAAATGGTCTCGTAACAGTACGTGTTCTGTCCTTATGGTACTTGGAACAGTACCAGAACTCTTTATGACTGAAATTAGGGGAAGTTCTGTGCTGGAAGGTATGTACAGAGATTTTGTTTGAACAGTTAGGTATTTTGAGAAGTGGAGACAATTTTTAAAGGTATATTGGTCTTCAGATTTTTATGAAGAGTAGTTTTTATTTTTGGGTGTTTACAAATTCTTTTTTGCCCCTCTCAAAAGTCCCTGTACCAAGAATTATCATTCTTCTTTGGATGCTTTCATAACATTAGCTATTTGTTTGTGTGTACTCTGGGTCACACTGGGGAAATGTGTGTTTGGGGAGAGTATAGTGGAAAAGGTCAAGAATTTGATTGATTGGTAAGTTTGCATAAGAGAATTATTTCCTCAGTTACTATAAACTTTGGTATTTTAGGCATGTGCACTACCATTTGAGCAGTTTTACACTTCACTGTGCTTTCCTTGTAAATATCTGTGGTTAATAGTGTAATGTTTGAGGGACTGAAAAAAGCAGCCTTTTTATATCCTATGTATCTGGACCATTAGATTGCTGTACTATACTTAAAAGTTGACTGCAGATTTCTAGAATTGTACTCACTTGTGGGCAGTTTTTGTCCTCATAATAGTTAAATTCCATCATGCAGAAAATAGTTACACTGTCTATATAAACCTATGTATAAACCAGTATCTCAAAGCACTTCATTTGTACTACCACTGTATTTGTGTACTTTAACAGTTGTGTAAATACATTCATAATAACTTCTGTTCTTCTTGGTGTAACTTACTGACTTGAATGAATGAATGAATCCTTACCATTTACCTGATGCAACTCTTTTCTTTTTTCTCTTTTCTCTTTTTTTTTTCCTTCTCTTTTCTCATTTCTCTCTTCTTTTTTCTTTTTTTCAAGGGATTTCTGTACCTACAAAGAATATTGTCAGTTGCAAACATTTGAAGATACTGTCTTGGTAGCAAAACTTTCAGTGCAAGAGTTTGGTAGTTATGATCCTGGGGTATACAGGAAGAAAGAGAAAGCATTAATTACTTTGCTCACAGAAAGCATGCCTTTTTGCCAGTTTAAAGGTAAATGTTTTTGTTTGGATACTTCTTTTTTTCCAGAAGTTTTTAATTTTGTACAAATGCTTTTGCGTATCAAGTAATGCAGGGTATTGATAAGAGAGTACAGTAGGGGAATCGAGATTGGATCAGTTATGGGAGCTAAGATAAAGGCAAGAAAAATAGTGAGCTGTACTCACAGTGGTGCCCTGTATAATAAAATTCCAGATTTTGCTATGTGATTCTCAAAAGTCTATTATAACCTGAGGGTAGACGCACCTTCAGGAACCCCCCCATGTTTTCTTATTATCAGACCTTTAAAAGTTGGAAGGATATTTCAATTTCTTCTCATGGTTTTCGCTTAAAATTGTGTATATGCTCTTATATGGAAAATACCACCTGTGCTGCTGTTCTACATAATCTTGAGTGGTTACAGAGTCCTTGAGTTTTTTGTGGTACAAGTACTTAAAGAAAAAAAAAGAATATCCTCTGCAAAAATAAATCCTGTGCTTTAAGAGAGATATTAAGAGAAAACATTTGAGTCCATATATTCCATGTTAACTTCATGAAAATATTCAAACTACTCCTTGGAGAAAGGCATGTTGATCAAGTCATCGTTTCCAGTAGGAAAAAATGTCATAAGCATAACTACTTGTCTTTGTTTCCTCATGTCCCAGACCCTTGAGTATAGCATTGGCTAGAGCAGCATACATGTTGATTTCAAGAATATTTAGTTTCTCTTTTAAAATAATTAAATAAAAAGGTGTTTATTTTGTTCTTTGACTTTTGCTTTACAAGAGCTGCACTTTGTGTACAAAATACCAAATTAAAACAAACAATGCTACTGGTTTTTTAATAGTGCTGGGCCATCTGATCAGAAATCAAAATTTAAGCTTTGGGATTGTGAGCAAGTGTAATCCATCATGAACTTAATCCTAAGCAGCTTCTAAAATTCACTGGATGAGTTAGGTTAATAATAAAAAGGTTTTACTGTGAAAGAATGCAGTATTTTGTTATTAAAAACAGTAAGTTTCCCTCTGATTCATTCAAGTGACAGTTACTGATTTTTACATGCATATGTATAGATTTTAGTGACTGTCTGAACCTGAATTGGTATAGGCTATGTGTATTGTTCAATACTTTTGTGTGAGAAGAGTACTCAGAGGCCTGGTCTTCAGTAAGAATGTGTTTCACAGCCAAATCATACCGACTTTTTCAGCAGATATTTGCACAGTATTAACACTTTACAACTTCTTAGATGTTGGTGGGTTTTTTCCTTGCTTAATATTATTAAGACTAGTATGGTTTGGTTCTTCTGTCAAAACCGTTACATGCTGCAGGCAGAGGGATAGTAGAAAATGAGAGGAGAACTGTACATACAGAATCTACAAAAATATGCCTAAAAATGTTTTTTTGTTAATCACATTTTGGGCAATTCTTGATTCAAAATGCTCAAGGCATAGGTCTGAGATATATATGTATGCCTGATGGACAAAGAAGAATGTGAAAAAGTGGAAAAAGGGAAAAATGTTGCAGATCATCTTAAATTATTAAGCCCTAGTCTACAGTGTCTTTACCGTGACCATTCCAGGATGTTTGGGGTGGGATGTGGAACAAGAATTCATTTGGTACATTATACACTAAGAAGAAAATACTTAGTCCTGAGCCCTACAAGAAAAAAAAAAGTTGTTCAGTTACAGTCCTCAGCTTGGTTGGGACCTGCAAGCCTTACAGGCACAAAGGCAGGACACAGCTTCTGGTATTTCCCTTAATCCTTAAGGAAAGGATAAACCAGGGTAATTTGAGGTCATGCACAGGTCTTTTTTCTTAGATGACCCCAAACAACAGATGTTTCTCTGCTCTCACGGCCAAAAAAAGTGTATTTTGTTTGTCTGACACATTATCAATGGATCTTAAGGCACGTTTTTCAACAAGACTCAGAAGATCTTTTGCTGTTTAAGAGTTTTAAATACTAAAATCTGGATATACTTTTTCATTGGGTTCATAGTTTTATTGTGAAAGGTTTTAAACTGTTGAAAGAGTAGTAAATGAAAAGTCAGAAGAGCAAAAGCTATCCTTTCTTAATGCTCTGAAGTATTCATCTGGGAGTAGTGAGGAAGGCTGCCAGCTGAAATATTGCTGACATGATGAAGCAAATACGGAGATCAGTCAAGGAACTAACAGTGTCTATCTAGAGGTAAGTAGCTTTTTACTCTATATCTTAATTTGCCATACATTCTCAGACAAATACAGGACTGCTGATCTCACTGACTGTGTCACTAGCAAAATGCTTTTAAGAGCATAAGCATTTTAACTGGCGCAAAAATGAGCTCTATTTCAGAAGCATTGAGAAAGCTGCTAAAACAATCCATTCCAAAGCTGTTGCTTCTCATTCGCGGTGCCTCTGCTGTTGTCAAGGTTGTTTACTCTTCCAGAAGTAGACGAGTACTTTCTTCAACAGGTCCAGCAGCAGGGAACAGCAGCTGTGCAAATCAGATCAAGCCCATTTTCCCCTACAGTGAATGGCCCTACTTCTTTCTTTCAGACTCGAACAGAGCCAGAGGCAAAGATAAATTCTGGTTTTCTGTCACAAGAGTGGGCTGACTGCATGCTAGTAAGTTCTGTCATTTTAGTCCACTGAGTAATATTAATTCCTGCAGCAGTATATGGCTTGGGTTGCAAAGCATTTGATTACACCTTAAGTCTTGCCAATTTAATTAATGTAGCATAAAAAAGTAATCATGTATCTATTCAAATACTAAGGGGGGGGATGTGTTTATGTAAACTAGACCTGTGACCTTTTCAGTGTAAATATACAGAGAAACTTTTTAAAGTGAGCTTTGAAAGTTTTCTCAAAGATCTCTTGACAGACGTACTTAGAATTAAGCACAAGTATGTATCTTCAGATCCCAAAAGATAGGTCTTGCTACACTGAATTACTTACACTCCTTGTAATTTTGATTCACCTGGATGTAGCCTTGAGATTATACCCTGAGGAGCCAGTCCTAGCTGAGGTACCATAGGAGCCAAAAACCCACAACATAAATGTATGCCTTTTCTTAGGAGCTTTCAAGTTCTAAAGAGCATCACTTGACAGTAAAGACAGCTTGCCAACATGTCAGTGTTCAAAATATTTTGAGCTTTGTAAGTCATGACAGTTCATAAAACTTTACCTGTAAACAAAACCTGGAGCACTATTCAGAGGAGAACATTAATATTTTTTACACAGCACAGCACAAAATTAATTGCTGTTATTTTAAATTAGATGATGCTTTAAAATAGTCTTCAGGATCATTTACAGCAGAAGCACATATCCATTTTGGAATTGGCCAAACTATGAGTCATGGCAAAAGCAGTCCCCTTGCCCACATTAAATTCTGGCTGCTTGTCAGCTAAGTGTCAGCTCTTCTCTATAAACTCGCTTGTCCCTGTGTAGCTGTTTAATAGGCATGTGCAAATGAAACCCAATGTCCATATTGGGCTGTTAATTTTTTCTGAGCTTATTTTCTCAAACCCACAGTTTTTGACAATCAGATATTTATTTATTCGCTACATTTGCAACAGTTAACTAGAAAAGCATAAAAAAAATTACTAAGTATAAATATACACATTACATTAAAGTGCATTAACAACAAACAAAATGTCATCTCGCACAAAATTAATTGCTTCCCATAATCCTAATTCCCATAATCCTATAGACGAGTGTGGCAAAGAGACACAGACACACTACACAAGTCAATACTTACATGCTGTAACATGTAAGAGTTTGCATTCTGAAATTCTTCCTTTTATAATTGTCTACCAAACTAAACATTTTCTTTGGGATGTACCAATGGTGCATATATGAATTTTGCTTTTTCATTTTGAAGATTGGTTGCTTGATCAGGGGAATGTTCTAATTTATTTTTAAAGAATGATTCTACATTGCCTAATACCCGTTTGTGTAGATGGAGTTTAATATTAGCACAAAATCTCTCCAGTCCTTTACACCATACCTTCATACCATCCATCTCAAGGCTTAACTTTAGAGAACTGGCTTATCTTGAAACAGATAGCTGCATCACTTTAAGACTTCTAGTTCTGCTGAGGTCTTCTAGGCTCCAAATGGGTACAAAATATTTAATTTAGAATTTTCAAAAAAGCAAACTGATCTTTGTATAGGAGGAAGAAAATAATTTTAACTCTGCTCATTGTCTAATAAATGGGCAAACTGTCTGTAATCCACTCCTGCGGGTATTTTGCATGTTTACATATATATTTTTATTCATTCATATATATATATATATATATATATATATATATATATATGTATGTATGTACGTACGTATATACATACATATGTATATATGTATGTGCAAACACATGTATTCTTTTTTTATATAGTCTGTGTATTACTGGCATTACAAATTTCATCTCCTTGCATCAGGCCCTTACTTTCCTAAGACCCATTACATAATCAATCATACAATACTTTAACAATAAATCCTATTGTACACAATTTATAGAATGTGTGAAGATCCAAAATGCTTTAAAAATTTTGCTAGCCTGCAGGGTAAAAGACTATTCACTACTTTCAGAGAAAGAATCTTGGAAAACTGTTTTGGTTTTTTGATTGTTTACTTTCCAGACTTCTTAGATATATTCATGATCTGTGTGTCAAAAGAAATTATATATGTTTCAATAGCGCATGATGTAGGAGTAAACTATAATCTTCGGATGCTTCACAATTTGGTTGCATAATTACCTACATTCCCTTCCTTTTCCTT